CTATACATTTTATTCTAAATTTTTTTTTTAAAATTTTTTTTATATTATTTATGTTCTTCTAATTGGGCAAATTGCTTAGCACAATGTTGTTTATATATTGTATGAATGAGAAGTGCATTTCATATTTTGTTTTAATGGAACTGGGTCAACAATTATAATTACAATAATTACAACAACATTTACGTTGAAAGTAACAATAAAACGGTTACAGTTGCATAGTTTAGTAAACACACTTTTAACATTGTTAACAATTGCAGTTGTTTTTGTAGTAATGTTTGCGTTCAGATTCAAGGTGTTTACGGTTGTCGCTTTCATTAATAGTCTTTCGTTGATAGTCTTAGCTCAGCATTTATAGAGCGAAAAATATTCAAACACTGGGGTGAATACATTATATTCGATTTGGTGAAGACGAAACGAATATGTCTTTCCGTTATAGTACAAATTTTATTAAATTTTCTGTAAGAAATTCTGTGTTTACATTTTCAATCACGCCTCACTAAAGAAGAAAATTTCTTCATCCTAGTTGTCTTTATTTTAATTTATTTAAAATTTTTTTTAATTTATAATAGTTCTAATTTATTTAATAGCATTCAGATATATGTTTTTATAGCATTAAAAATTTTTTGTTTTTATATATGAAAGTGTGACACATTTTATATTAAAACGCTTGGTAAATGTTTTTACTCGTAATATCATTATGATATGGCGGACATGGGTTGACCAGTTAATATGATGTTGTTTAAAATGAATTTTTTTATCTGCATCATCATAAGTATTTTAAACTCATTAAGTTTGATGGATTACATGCAACTAGGAGTGTTATTTTTATCATAACCTACATGGTACTTTTCAACGATATGATAAAAATTATTTTATGTAACATTTATATTTTTTGCTTGATGAAGCGAACATTTGGTTGTTGCGAAAGGAAGTTTATAGTTTGATTGTTAGTATTTAAACTTTAATAGACAAAGTTATAATATCAATTTTAACATATCTATCTTTTAACAATTTATTAAGTATATTTTTTACCTAACAACAAGAGTTTATAAGATTTATTTTCTTTAATATGTATTCTTTAGACAAAAATATGTATTATCAAAATATTATATATAAGTGAGATATATATATCAAAGTTTATTAGCACATACTTTACATAGTTTCATAAAAGTGTCAAAATTTTTGTTAAGTAATAGAAATGTTAAATTTTAACAATGTTCAGTAGAAAAAAAACACAGGAACAGTGTCTCATAAGCCCATTTGTAAGATGAAATCGAAGGTATTAAACTAGATGCAATATTGTGTATCTATGGTTTATATGAACCACATATACAAATTCAGATTTCGGACACATGAATAATGAAATTTACAGTGATTATCCTTATTGTTATAAATTTATGTTTATGTACTTTTTATTTTTAAAATATATTCATATATTATATATTCATATATTATATATTCATATATTATATATTCATATATTATATATTCATATATTATATATTTATATATTATAAATTATATATTCATATATATATTTATCAATTTTACGTTTGGGGGTAAGGTATGCTATGACATGATATATAACATAGACATAACTGCAGGGCTTAGTATACACCTTTTTCTTACTAACGTACCGCCATGACTAGCCTTCAACATGGTATGGTAAAGTATTGTCATAAGGCAATACACTATGGACATGGGTCTATAACCATGAAAATGGTTTGGAGCCATAATAGTGATGAAACTTGACTTAGGATATAACTGGAGGTTCGGACATATGAATAATAAAATCTTCCCCTTAATGGCGAGACTTGACGAGACTGAATACAAGTTATTTACATTATTGTAGATCGTCATTCCGCATATTGTCCTATGTTATTCCATTATTTTTGTTTTTTAACATACTTATGTTTTCATGTATTCTATTATTGCTCTTTTTTAACGTTTTGTTTTCATATTTTTTTTTGGAATTATTATTTTGTATCTAAATGCATTACATATGGATTGAAGTTCCACTTTAGTTAAAGCAGCTGACTGGTGTGTTTCTTCTTCAATTGGATCAAATAAGTCTTGTGATCTTGCGTAAGAACTCTATTTAAATTCATAATTTCTCTTGTTTAATAGTTAATAATTAAAAATCATCATATCAAAAAAATGTACATTACTTCTGATGAAAGTATCTTTTATATATTCTATAGGATATTTTTTTTAATAGGTAAGTGTGGAAACACTTTTTAATAAATTTTTCGGAATATATGAGACTATATCTTAAGAATGACAAACTCAATGTTTGCTTTCAAAACTAGAATCGTGGTGAATATGCCCGCGTATAATGTTGTCTTCGAATACCTTTACAACTAATGCCTTGAAGGTGGTTATTAGCACAATCTAAAAGATTAGAATCTCTGTTTTAGAAGTTAATACAGTCATCGAAAATCTAGTTGAATAACTAGAATAACTCGTTAATATTTCTGTTAATAAAACATATTTATATTATGTTTTATGTGTTATATTTAAAACACATATTTTTTACTGAAAATTTTATTGCTCAGATAATGCATAACTTGCATTAGCTTTTAGGGTAATTATGAAGAGCTTGATAACCGTTCTATTAAATAAAAAAGTGTCTACTACAAGAAACGTTGTACTACGATTAGTACTTTCTTTAAAAAAAAAAAAACTTTAGTTTGAAAAATATTAAAAATAATGATATATAATTGCATGAAATGAAAAGAGTAAATTGCTAGGATAGTTTTTAATAAAAATAATTCTTGCAAATCTTCATATAAAATCAAGCACTTGCAGTTCAACTTCATATAATTAAATAAAAAAAAACTGTGTCAAAAGATCAAAAGGAAATGAGATTTCCATAATTTAGCAATCGCGCCTATCTAGGAAGCAAAAAAAAAGACGACATATCAAAGAAGTTTTAAAGAACAAAGAACTACGAGTATTTATCGGAATAAAAAGTAGTAAAGCACAACGCTGAGAACAATGAAGGCACAACTTAATATATTTTTTCGCAATATCTTTTCAAATGCAACCATCACTGCTGCACTGATTCGTTGAACTTTATCGCATTGTGCGTTGATAAATAAATGCTAATGAGTCAAAAAGAAAAAGAAATTTTGTAGATACAAAAAAATGTTAATCTTACTTTGCAATTCATTTCATCATATGAACTTCATTTAACTTGCTTTATATTATATATACAATATATAAAAATATTACTGATTATTCCATATTCATATTCTATATTCAGTATATATAAAATTGAATCAGTTATTGTAAATTCTACCCACTAAATGATGTTTGCTTAACAATTTATAATCTTTTTCAAGTAGACGACTTTAATTCTTATTTATTTGTATATGCCTATATATCTTCTTTAACTAAAATTTGAAAAATTTAGCTTATAGCAATTAATGAGTTCAATAATTCGTGTTCGTGAATTCATTCAGGCGGTCATATAGTTAAATTCAAGAATATGCAACAAGAATATTTCCCAATGTTTTTTAGATAGTTGTGCTGTTATATAGGTTCTGCAAGACCTTCATTTAGGTACTAATTACAAATTACCTACTTAATTACAAAAAATTTGACTTAGAAATTGAGAAACTTAAAAGTTTTGAACAAACTACTAAGAACTACCATAATGTCTTCTAGTTCTTTTAACGGGACTATCGAACTGCAAAAGTCTACACATAATACGTAAAATAACGTATTTAAAATATTATTAATATAATAATATTTTTATATTTTGTGAAAAATATAAGTTCTGAAAATTTGTTATTTGTACTGTAATTAAAGACTGATCATGATTAAAAAAATGAAAAAACGGAATTGTGAAATTGATAAGCTTATTTCTTTTAAGCTGGAAGGACTATTATTGACCACTATTCTAATTTTTGGATTAAGTGTCTCGATATAATCAAAAAAAATATTCCAACTGTGGGGGAACCATTCTGACGGAATGATACTGAATTTCAAAATGCTCATTATCAATTTAGTAAAATAACACAAAACTGCTAAAATTGGTGCATTAATTTTATATTCTTCACCATGACTACTCAAAAACTGTCCATAAATTCTATCTCATCAATTTCATATTAGCATTTCCAACAACTTTTCAACAGGAATTGCCAATTAAAAATATTCCACAACACTATTCAGAATACTTGATTACAAAGCATACAAAACTCTTGACTTGAATACAACACCATTTCGTTATCGTAAACTGTATGCTTTTCACATGATTTGGAAGAGTGCTGGACTGTAAACTTGTCGGTCTATAATCCTTTTTTCTGCTCTGGCGATAGTCATACATAGTGGACTGCATTAGTAAAAAATCTGAAATACATACTCATATTAATCAGGAGAAAACAAAAACGATATTCATCATTAGGAAACGTAATCAATACAATACATAACTCTCACATAGGATAAGAAGATGATACCTTGAAATAATTGGGTTTTATTTTCAACAATAAGTAAAGTGTTATTCTGTGAAAATCACATTAACATTACTGCCAGATATGCGAATAAAACATTATCATTAACAACTCACACAAAAGTAAAGAATAAAACGTTGAAATTGACCACCTGTAAAAAAAAAATTTCCTTAAGCTATGAAGATCTATGAGTATATATAGGGAATACCATTAACTTACTAGCGTATTTGTTAGAAATGGCCCCGGATGACTTTCTTTATTTTGGTAATTTAATTACATTTAAGGTAACTGTTTTCAAACGACTGATACCATTTCCTAAATTCTTAAGTAGGAAATGATTAAATCGAACGGCACTAAAAATTTTTTTTCGAAGATTGGAAAAAGCGCAGATTAGATGGAAAGGGACAAATAAATATATAAATAGAAAATGTAAAAATTATACGATTTATTTAAAGATTATTTTATTTATTTTTTTGACAGAATATAACCATTATCATATATTAATTACTTACTAATAACATTTTTTATTTTCTTTTGTCTTTGTAGGAAAGGGTACAGGCGAAGGATCCACCATCGCATTATTTGAACAAACTACGTACTTACCTAGATCCCAAAGCATCACGTAGTCATAGAGTAAGTATATATGAAGATATCTTGTTAAATATAGTAAAGATAATAAATTTTGAAAGTAGTTGCAGTTGGTTTAAAGAGTAGCAGTTCATTATTAAAATGCTTGTTTTTTTGAATCCTCCTTATTTTATTTCCTAAAGTACATAAATAATTTTTGTTTTAAATCAACTGAATTTGAAGAACAAATTGTTATTGTTTTTAACAAACTTTATGTAATATAGTTTTAATTTGAATTTGAAAATGTAATGTGTAAATTATTTTTCCATACAATTATAAAATTATTTACACATTAAAATAAAGAATCCCCGAAATGTGTTAATTTACTTATCTGATTGGTGCTTTTCTTTATTTTCTTCTGACAATTGGCACTTTGTATTCTTACTAAATATATTTTTAATTTTTAATTTTGATTATTTATTCCGTTTGAAACTTTTGCTTAAAACTCATTAACCAACCTACTACTACATGGTTAAATTTAAAAGTTCAAATATAAAATTTTGTTTATTAATGCAAATTTTCAATTCTACTCACACACTTACACTTACATTTTTTGTTTATTTTTCTGTTCTTTTTTCTCTTTCTTGTCTTCTTTTTTCCTTTTATAACTTGTTTTTCCTTTTTGGGTCTTTTGCACTTAATCATAACAAACAAATATTTTTCGAAAAACTTTTTGTTTTGTAAACTTGTTGCACACTTCTCCATACTGACCCACACCGACATTTCCTCACTCTACACTATTCCTCAATCTGTACTACTCCTCTGATCCATACATAAATTCCTTTAATATATGTATTAAAAAATTTCCTCATATCCAATAACATCCTTTCCCAATACCTAAACCAACACTTACAGCTTTTCTTCCTCTACTTTTTTTGTCAGAAACGAAAAATGGTTGGTGAATCCACATCCACTCAGGTGTTACGTGATTTGGAAATATCATTACGCACAAATCATATAGAATGGGTTAAGGAGTTTTTGGATGAAACGAATCAAGGACTAGATGCTCTCGTTGATTATTTAAGTTTTCGTCTACAAATGATGCGCCACGAACAGCGAGTGCAAGAAGCTTTGTCAGAATCGGAAGAAAGGCTGAATATGACGAATAGTATGGGCAGTGGAATTGGTGGCACACCAAACGATGCTGGAAGTACATCTCTAGGTGGTGGAGGTTGTAGTAATAATACAATGGGAAATTCCAGTTTATTAGACTCAACAAGACAACAATCTTCGCTTGCTACACACACAAGCTTGAATAATGGATTTTTACGTCCCTCGCTGGCCGAGGTACTGGATAGTCCAAGCATTAAACGCCGTTCACGCCACATTGCTAAATTGAATATGGGTGCGTCGACAGATGATATACATGTTTGTATAATGTGTTTACGCGCTATAATGAACAACAAATATGGCTTCAACATGGTGATACAGCATCGCGAAGCTATTAATTGTATAGCTCTAAGTTTAATACATAAATCTTTACGTACAAAAGCATTGGTACTAGAACTATTAGCTGCAATATGTTTGGTGAAAGGTGGACATGAAATCATACTTTCCTCCTTTGACAATTTCAAAGTTGTCTGCCAGGAGAAACGACGTTTCCAAACCCTAATGGAATATTTTATGAATTTTGAAGCTTTTAACATTGATTTTATGGTGGCTTGCATGCAATTTATGAATATTGTAGTGCATTCGGTGGAGGATATGAATTACCGCGTTCATTTGCAGTACGAATTTACTGCGTTAGGATTAGATAAATATTTGGAGAAACTGCGTATGACTGAATCTGAAGAACTAAAGGTACAAATTTCTGCTTACCTTGATAATGTCTTCGATGTAGCAGCTTTGATGGAGGATTCAGAAACAAAAACAGCTGCTTTAGAACGTGTACAAGAACTTGAAGATCAATTAGAACGTGAAGTTGATCGTAATTCAGAGTTAATGTATAAATTAGCAGAGTTAGAGAATGAAGCACTCACTTTAAAAGTTGAACGAGAAGAACTGTTGGCAACGAAGCTAAAATTCGATGAAGAGGTTACAACATTAAGGCGTATTCTGAAGCAAAATGAGCAAGAACTGAAAAAACGTGATTCACTTTTACAAAGTAAAAATTTAGAATTACAAACCTTAACACGCTCATTGCCACGCTCAAATGGCGATGGTCCACAGGTAAATGGAAATGCTACATCACCAAGCAACAGTCCAACATTACCACCGCCTCCACCACCTTTATCGGCAGCAAATTCGCCAACTGCAATGGCTCCACCGCCACCACCACCACCACCTCCGCCAGCACCGCCTGTGCCACCACCACCACCATGCATGCCTGGTGCAGGTGACTTGATGAATGGTTTAATGCAGTACCCAGGAAGTCAGGTTAATGGCGGTTTACAAAACCGTTTGCCCGCACAAGCCAATGCTGTTTTACATTCATTCCAACCACCACCACCACCAGTAGCAGGATTTATGCCGGCACCTGATGGAGCTATGACGATTAAACGAAAAGTGCCCACAAAATACAAGCTGCCAACAGTAAATTGGATTCCGCTGAAACCAAATCAGGTAAGTTAATAAATTGAGGTATGAAAAAGAAAATAGATACGAATAGGTTTAATGAAAAGGATATTGCTAGGAAATTAACTAAAATTGGATTGGAATGCTTACATTGAAATTCGAATATAATTTTTTTTTTTTATTTTTTGTAGGTACGAGGTACAATATTTAATGAATTGGATGATGAAAAGTTATTTAAATACATCGACTTCATTGAATTCGAAGAACGCTTTAAAATAGGCATTGGAGGTTCTTTGTCAAATGGTAACAAATCAGAGGTAGATGGTTTACAATCGTATCCAAGCAAACGTTTCAAGAAACCGGATCATGTGTCACTGCTCGAACACACGAGATTACGAAATATTGGTAAATAACATAATATAATGTTAATAAGAATATATGTTAATAAGAAGAATGTTATAATTTATGTTTAGCAATCTCTCGACGAAAATTGGACATGCCCATTGATGAGGTTATAGCGGCTATACACAGTTTGGATTTGAAAAAGTTATCTTTGGAGAACGTTGAATTATTACAAAAAATGGTCCCAACAGATGTAGAAGTCAAGTTATATAAAGAATATATTGTTGAGCGAAAGGACCAAAATCTACTAACTGAAGAAGATAAATTTATGCTGCAGTTTTCGCGTGTCGAACGTATTTCATCCAAATTATCCATAATGAACTACATGGGCAATTTCTTTGACAGTATACATTTAATTAGTCCGGTTGGTATTCTATTTAACACATAGAAGTGATAAAATTATTAAGTTTTTTCTTTATATTGTTTTTAGCAAATTTTGTCAATTTATACTGCTGCAAATTCAGTGAAACAGTCTCGTAAATTTAAAGAAATTTTAGAAATTGTATTAGCATTTGGAAACTACCTCAATAGCAGTAAACGCGGTCCAGCATATGGATTTAAATTGCAATCCCTTGATACATTAGTTGACACGAAATCAACTGATAAGCGTTCCTCTTTACTTCATTATATTGTTAGTACAATTCGGCAAAAATTCCCTGATCTCTTAAGTTTTGATACTGAGCTGTATAGCACTGACAAAGCATCACAAGTTTCACTTGAAAACATTATAACAGATGTACATGACTTGGAGAAAGGTATGGAACAAGTAAAGAAAGAAGCTGAACTCAGAGTAAAAGGTGCTCAAACTCACATTTTGCGGGACTTCCTTAATAACTCTGAAGATAAGTTGAAGAAAGTGAAATGCGAGTTGAAGAATGCACAGGATGCATTTAAAGAATGCGTTGAATATTTCGGTGAATCTTCACGTAATACTGAGGCAGCAGCCTTTTTCGCACTGATTGTACGGTTTGCACGAGCATTTAAGGTTGGTGGTATATCACACAAACTTTGTACTTTATGCAATTTATTGGTATATTTAGTAGTTTTAATATATACTTTAAATTAGGCTAATGAACCGTTATCAGCTTAAGAAGAGTTAATCCATTTAATCATAATCATATTTTTAGGTACACGATCAAGAGAACGAACAAAGAAGAAGAATCGAAATAGCCGCTGCTTCGAAAAAAGAGAATGAGCAGGTCATATTACGCAATAAAATGAACCAAAAGAAACAGCAGGTAAAATTGTTGGAAATAATGTTTATGTCTATATTTGGTTATTTTTTTGTTTTTAAAACAAACTTTTACTTTCATCTTCATACTTCATCGCAATTAATAATAAAATTATTGTATATTTTTCGGTGTGTGTGCTTTTGTTTTGCGGTATGAAAATAAAAATGTACAATAAATGATAATTTTATGTTGGAATATGCAAAATGTCTACATAGAAATTGGGTTGCGTAACTATGGAAAGCAGTTTACTTCATAAAGCGCTCTTTAATTCTGACTGAAAACTCAAACCCCTTTGCACAAGTAAATAATGTAAATAAATGGACAGTAAATAATGGAAGCAAGAATATATTTTACTAAATTTTGTTGTGTCGTACTTTTCGTTTTCAAAATTAAATAAATTATATATAAAAATAGAGAAACGCACAACATTAATTAATTTTAAAATTGTATATAATACAAACCACATATTAATTTAAAAACAAAAAAAACACACTTAACACACATACATTTAAACCAAAGACTGCCAAGAAAAACAACAACAAAATTTATTCATTCACAAGTGCCTTTAAAACTCATCAATTTATACACAGCATACTACCCTTTGCAATCATTTCAAGCAATTGGGACTGTCGTCTAAAGTGTAAGTGCCTAACAAAAGTTAATAATATATATATATATATTTTATAAATTAAAAAATTGTGTTGTTTTCTTGACTCCTTTTGTTGTTGTTATTGTCCTTTGTTGTAATACTTCTTTAATTTTTATTTATCGATAACAATATTTTTTTTTTATTCCAAAATCAATTACTATTTATTTATTTTGGGCTTTATATTAAACATTTTTTTTCTATCTAACAAAAGGTTGTTTACAAAAGACTGATTTTATATTGACCACTATTTTAACATAAACTTATTACTAATAATTCTGTACTTGCTTGGAGTTGTAACTAATATATATTTTAAGATATTTTTTAAAAAAAATTTTTTTTTTTTTAAAAGAAAAGTTATTTTTTTAATTTGCATTTTAATGCAAAATTATAGAATAAGAATTTATACGAAGAAAAAAAATTTATATATATCACTTACATTATACTAAAGAAAAAAGTTAGTTAAATAATTAGTTACAGAAGCTATAAAAATGATTTCAGCAAATAGTACATAATAGTACATACTATACTTCATTAATGGACACAGTCTCACGAACAGCTATAGTTCGACATATTTTCGTCCACATATAATATTATACATAATACCCCTTATGATCCTAAGGAGTGGATTTTTATATTATTTTATATTTATCGAGTACATATTATGTCAATAACATATTTATACAATACCTCTGTTTTACCATACATTTCTACTATCGGGGTGGCCATATTTTATTTCAAGCCATTTTCAAATAAAGTTAGTCCAATTCTTTTAAATAAATAAAATACGGAAGAAAATAATCCAATAATTTTTACTTAATATGATAACATGAAGTATTGGAACTGTTTTTTTATATTCAGTTATTAATTTTTATATAAATTGTTATAGTTTCATAATAGTTATTATAAAATCCTGCCATAAAGAAGAAGTCAAAAAAACTTGAAAGTGTTGGTAATTTCTATATAGAAAATATCAATATAAATTAGTATACATATATAAAAACTTCTTCTTTCAAAAAATGCACAAAAATTTTTTGAATAACGACCACACTATTTAGAGAAAGTGGACTTTAAACAGACAACCAATTAAGAATTAAAATTATTTATGACTCCTTTTCACTCTATTAGTTTTTAATGACTAATAATATCTATAAAGTTATTTCTTTATTTTTAGATTACATTATTCATGTGTCCGAACCTCCAGTTATCTACTAACTGGAGCTTCGTCACTATCATGGTTCCATATACATTTTAATGGTTATAGACTCAGGGTTATGCCCACAGTGTGTTGCCTAATGACAATACCTGGACGCGGGTATCTAACATTTTTCAAAGTAGAATGATTTAACATAATTCATAATAACAGCAAAGCTGGTGAATAATTCTTAAGTTTATTCTAATTATAAACAACTATATAGTAGTTCGTTTCTTTAACTTTTCAAGAATAAACTTATAGCTCTGAAAACTTCATCTAATTTCGGCATTTCATTTTCATCATAAGCGGTATCACAAAATTCATATTGAATAAAAATATTTTCAAAAATTTACATATGTATATACTTATTTTATTTTCCTTGTTTTTCCAAATTTCTGTTATTGAATTGATTATTTCCCATTAACAAATGCACTAAAGCTACGAAGATTTCCAAAGTTATGCAACGATACCATAATTTCATTTCAAACTAAAATTTCATTTAAATATTTTTATATATTTACAATATATAAAATAAAAAAAAAATTAATTTTCTTTTTCTATTTAAAATTTTTATTATCGGGTGATGGCGTTTATTTCTTATAACTTAACAAACATATTTATTGATATATAACTACACATACAACAACAATACAGTTACCAAATACATGCGCGCTGTCCTTACAGGATGCAGTCATCAATGAATTGAAAACAAAAGCAAATTCTGTACGCGAAAAGAAACTACTGCAACAGGATGAAGTTTACAATGGCGCTCTCGAAGATATTTTATTGGGTCTGAAAATCGAACCTTATCGAAGGGCTGATGCCGTACGACGTAGTCAGCGTAGGCGTATCGATAACAATCGTCTTTCACGTACTTTAGAGGAATTAGATGTCTAAATAGAAAACATATTCTAACACCTCAACATTTCATCATGGAGAACAATACTTTGATATTAAATTTTTGTAAAAAAGTACATTTTAAATATATTTTTATTATTATTTAAGTTTTCGTAACATGTACGTTAATAATATCTTAAAAGATAACTTATAAATTTAAATAAATGCCAATTTGACTGCAAATTCGAAATCAGAAAAGCTAAAGCTTAGTCGTTATAGTAATGAATATTGAATATATTATTCGAAAAAAATTAGACATAATTTATTTGTACATTCCTAAGTATTTAGTTAATAATATTATATATAAAAACGAGAATGCACAATTTACTTTATGTCTCATAAATCTCAAAAATATTTGTTTTTTTGTTTTTCTTTTTTTGCTTTGTATATTGTTATGTTAAAAATTAATAAGAGCAATATTTTTTTATTTGAATCTCTTTGTTTGTGTGACTTTTGTGTAGCCAATTTTTTTTTTGTTATTTTAATTTGTTTTAAATAGTTATTTTTATTTAATGTATGTAAATAAATTTCAGCTACATATTTAAGTGATATCTTTTGATCCATTGTAATAAATTGTATTTAATATATATATTAAAATATTATTTATATTATTTTATATAATTCATATATATTGCAAGCATATATTGAGATGCAAACGTACTTTAAGTAATTCATATTTATGTTTATGTTTTTGTTCAATAATAGTCTTTATAATCATAATACATATTATGTTAATAAAATTTTATTTAATACTTAAATTTTGTGTTTTAATTTTATTTTCACATTGTTGTTTATAAGCTTTTAATTATAAGTTTAATTTATAAATTTCTTTAAAATATTTATTTTATTTATTATATTTGTTAAAATGTTAACATAAAGTAAATATTTATACTATAGCTTAATGAGAATGTAGTTTTGAACAAAATCGGTAATAACTAAATAATCTTTCAGTTTATTCTAAAGTATAAGCATTATTTTCACTATAGTTCTATATATATTGTCACCAAAATTCGTATAATTTGTAGACTTACTTAAAAAATAAAATAAAAATTAGATGAAGTGAAATCTTCTGAAAAATGTTACCATATACATATATAAAAATTTTATATATATGCTGATGTAACCACAACCATCTGTTAAAATTAAAACTATCAAAAAATATTGCAATTTTATGTGTTAATATTTTTTAATTATGATTTTTCAAGATAAGATTTATTTTGTATAATAATGAGAGTATATTTATTATCAATGTGTTCATTTTTAAAAGATTTATGTGAGCTTTTAAAAAAATTTTTTTTTAAATTTTTTTCTGTATATTTATTTATATAGTTCTTTCCTATATAAAAATTGTCAATATTTCAAACTGAAATTTTAAAACATTTTGCTTTGATAAGAAACTCAAGAAACATTAAACATGAGTAATTTTTATATAGGAATTAACTACATAACTAAATATACATATAAAACTAAAAACTGTTTTTATTAAAAAAGTTTACATAAGCATTTAAAAATGGAACATATTATTAACAGAAAATGAGCTCAAAATAATCAAGAGTATTCAGTATGATTTAGCATATGCGTTAGGTTTTTATATAATTTATATTAACTATACAATTTATGTTTTTAACAGCATATATGAAATATAGCTCTTTACACGGACAAAGCTTCCAATAACAATATTTAATAAATTTTTATAAATCAACTTTTTATACATTTGTAATTTATTTATTTCTTTTCAAACTTATATTACAAATAATTTTTTTTGATTAAACTTGACTATCATTGATAATAACCGCAAGATATTTAGTTTACATAGAGTTCAGAAGAAATATTTTTAAAAATATATGAAAATAGAACGAATGTTTTACATTTTCTTGAGAAAATGCATAAGCGTTTAAAATGAATATTTAATAATCTATAAATTTAACGAAAGTAATTGCATTTAAAAAAACAACACAGTGCTCTTTCACAAAAGTGTAAACTGGCTTATATGAACCCTGGTTTATGTGAATAATTTTTCTTAACATATACTACTTTAAAACATAAACGATATTCAAAATAGTGAACAAAAATGTTGGGCTTACTTAATTTACGTTTTCGATTAAGCACTATATCTTTAAAAAGTCAGTTTTTGAATATTATACAAACACCAAAAATATTTTTAAATACATACCAAGGTTTAAATAACTTTTTGCCAAATATATACAAAAAAAAAATAAATTAAAAAAAAAGCTATTATAAATACGCAATAGTTATACAGTATTTAAAATATTTTTATCATAAAAAAAATTATATATTAATATACAAATAAACAATGATTTATACAAGAAATCAAAAGTTTACATAAACCTTTTTTACAGTATTTCAATAATATATATTAAATATTCTTTTTGATAATTATATTATATATAATATATAAAAAAAAGTTTTTTGATAAAACACTTTTTTTATATATGAAAAATTTTTAAAAGAAAATATTAAGAAAATGAAAAAATTATTCTTTAGAATAAATTAAAATAAAAATTTTAATACTTTTATTTAACATATAAGGTACATAAAATATATTTGATATAGAAAAATTTTAGTAATAATTTTTTAATAATTTTATATTAAAATAAACTTAGACGAGCTTAATTTTACTTTGTTATAAACTAGGAAAATAAATATTTGCATATCTTTTGTTAACGTGCGTATATATTTTTATATTATATAAGAATCATTAAAACTTTTTAATGTTAAAGAAATTATTTTTAAATTAAGTAATTTAATGAATAATGTTAATTATAAATTAAAATTTCTAAATTTTTTAAGCTATGTGCAATATATTTTTTTAAAAAAATATTGGCAAAAGTTATATAAAGTTTTTCTATGTCTTTTAAAAAATATTTTCTTTTTGTTCAAAAGGTTTTATTTGCAAGATATAAAATTAAAAACTGTTTTTTATATTTTATTTTTAATTTAGCTTATATACTTAGTACATATATTCACGAGTTTGGAAGTTTATTTGAATTTTTCGTTAAGGCAGAGTATTATTCAGCAAGAACAAAACACCCTGCAGATTTCGTTGATAAAGTTGAAACGATATATAAAGGATTAACAATAAAAGAACAATAAATAACCATTAAGAACCTCCAACATACAGCACCACATCAACTGAACAGTATACATTCCATACCTAACTATATCCTAATCCTGTATATAAGTATTTATAATTCCTTTCAACTGTTATACAGATCTCCGTGGGTTATCACAACATCCATAAAAATAAAAAGAAAAGAGGACGGTGACAATATTACTTACAGGCTACCTTTTATAATTAAAGCAGTTCCATAAAATTTATTTTTTATTTATATCGAATTTTCAACAATTAATCAAAAAATAAATATTTCAGCAAAAATAGTTTTTATTCTAGTTTGTAAAATCAATTGCTGTTATATTCCGTTTTAAGAAAAAAGTCAAATTAACTTTGAAATGTCACCGACATTTATATAAATACATAATTATATAAATTCATAATGTTAAAAATAAAAAATCAAAAAACAGTTTTTCGTTAAAAGTTAACGAAAAAAAGCCTTTAAACAACAAACACATTATCGAATAATACTGAACTGAAAACAAATAAATTTAAGAATATTTTATGTATAATATATTTTAAATTATACCAAAAAATTAGTTTTCTTTTGTGTGAAAAACTTTCTTATAATTATTATTATTTTTTTATTATAACAACAATAAATATTATATTATAAATATATTAATTACAAACAATTAATATTCTTATAATCTTTCTTTTAATTATTGCTTATTAAATATAAGCCACCTCAACATGAAATAAATTTTTAATGGCAAAGCAAGAACGACATAAATAAAATAATTTTTATATAGTATTAATTTTTAATAATTCAATTAGAAATTAAAAAAAAACGTATTCAAGAGATTTCCATTAAAGACTTCAGACTCAAGTCGAAATATTGACTTTAATTTTTAAATAAAGTTTAATAAAGTTTACCAGTAACCCCATATAATATCGCATATAATAAAATTTTACATTAAAATATATTTAGAGCATTTTTTTGAGTTGTAATTTATTTAATTAAATTGATTAAATTAAATTGAAATTAAGTTGTAATTTATTGTTTTATTATAAATAGCACAACGACTAGTTTAAGACAATATATTACACACATTCTAAGCATTATAAAATCGAAATATTAAATAATGTTTAAATTCGTTACCATTACTTGATGGTAACCCATATAATATATATAACCTTTATAATATATATATATATATATATATAAGCAGTATACATAAAATAAATTTTTTACAATGTGACCGTTAACAATTAAATATTAAGCAATTTTGTTATTTAATTTTTAATATATTCGCTTACAATAACATAATTTGTATATAACGCTTTATGTCCAGATCTACGAATATATATATATAAGCAGTATACATAAATTAAATTTTTTACAATGTGACCGTTAACAATTAAATATTAAGCAATTTTGTTATTTAATTTTTAATATATTCGCTTACAATAACATAATTTGTATATAACGCTTTATGTCCAGATCTACGAAGATCCTTTCATACAAACTTATATATAATTAGATTTATTAAAATGTAGCCATTTATTAAAATAAAATAGATATAAAACAATTTTCTTTTAGTTTTACTACTGATAATAATGTTTTTGCGAACCTAATTTTTTATCATATTTAGTATTTAGCAGAAGCATGCCTCTGGAGAGGAGCATCAGACCGAAGCATAACAACGAGTTGTCACATCTAATTAAGTAAGCTAATAAATTAAGTATACGAATACATTACTAGTAAAACAGTAGAATATAAAAAATAAAAGAAGGTTTTTATTTATTTTATTTATTCTAATTATTTTTTTCATTTTCAAAAAATGATGTTTGAAAGCTATTGTGTGTACTTTCATTACAATATTTGGATTTGTTGGATTTTTCCGAGAACCCAGCGATGTATGTCATTGGTAAGCATGGTATTTTTGGTTGGATATTGGTTTTTGTTTTACGCATTCTATTCATCTGTTTTAGAAGAGAATATATAGTATATTTATGATAAATGTTGAGCAATTCTTGATGATCGCAAATGCTGAATACACGTCTAATCAAATTTAGAGCTATGTTCCGAATTACATAAAGAGGGTGTTTAGAATTAGTATGCTATCCAGTCTTTGTTGCTTTTTATTAAGTGTTACTTATTAACAAATTTAAGTATTAAACAACTAGCCTTAACCCCAGTTAAATAAAATTTATGGATATATAAGTCGAAATAACAATTAATTATAAATTAATAGGTTATTGCTTTCCGCTTTGACGGAAGAAACTAAATTCTTAGTATAAACTATTGTTTTCAATAGAGAGGTATATTGAACAGTAGTAAGTAAATTACAACAATAAAGCTTTTTTATTTATTATTAGCTTAATTTTTGGCTGTTCATATACGATTTCAACCATTGGTACTTGCACTCCCAAAAATTTTCTAAGACCACTGATGATAGGTATACATTTTTATTACAATATTTTTATACAAAAAAATTAGACTTTATATGAAAAATAAATTAAAAACTGCTTAAGGACATCTAAAGTTAAACTTTTCGAGTTATTTTTCCTGAAGAAAATTATTGAATTATAGAACCAATAGATGAAAAATAATAGAAATAATAATTGAAATATATATATCTTCCTATTATGACCATTAGAACAGGGCTAATTTATCACTTTTAATATAGAATATGAAAATTGACGGAATTTACCATGTTTAAATAATAATGTTTTAAAGTAAAGGTAAAAATCGCTACAGAAGCAAATTTTAATTAGAACATTTTATACTAAAATAAATTATTTTAATAAATATGTTATTCTTATTATATCAAGAAATCAATTTTTTAAATTAAATGCACTTGTTCAAAAAATTTCAAAAAGGAATTACACTCCATTGGCAACTATGGTTTGACGGGGTATTATGTTTTAAATGAATGTAAACAAAACAGATGAATACTCAAGTAAAAACAAAACGTGAAAGTAGAAATGAACTGAATCAGCTGTTGAAGTTCACTTCTTCTGGCTGTTCATTTTGATATTGTGCTGCCATATTTATTAAAAAATCTAACTTTTATTCAACTCAAAAATTCTCAAAAAATAATTCTATTATTATTTTTGCAGTTAAATTATATTAACAGCAATTTCAATAATGTATATAAAATTATTTAATGTAATTTTACATAATATCACAAGTTGTTTCTAAAAATTAATACTTTTGCAACTAATTATTACAGATTTTATAGATAATGAATAAATGAAAAGAGATATATATAACAGTTGTCACACACTTTATAACTTTAATCAATGTGTCAACGATTTTTAAGAAATAAATGAAATAAGTGTGGCCAAACACTTTGGCCAGTAAAAAAGTGTTACCAACGCAATAAACGAACTATTCTAAACCTTTATTGGAAATTCCAGAGAATATTGCAATCATATGTCAAAAATCATAGCTAAACAAAAATTCAAACAAAATTAAAAAATTTCATAAATTTGAAAATTGGAAAAAAAGAAAAAATCCCAGTATTTTATTTTGAAATTTTACACATTCTCACCAGTCCTTTTAATTCTGTAATCATTTACATTTTCAATTTATATTAAATATTTATTTTTATACAAGATGTGATTTGCTTGAGTTATGTGCACATATGTAAGATTTGCTATTTGTCAAAACATAACAGTTGACAGATTGCAATAATGATGCGATGCTAAAGTCTCATGCCAGCATGCATTTTTTGGCATACTTGCGAGCCACCGAAAAGGCCTAAAAATTATACTTACATGTCATTGTATTTTAGGTATCCATGCTAGGAGACTAAATTTCACAGTCGTGGAGAGGACGATGAAAGTATCTCACATTCGCAGCATCGCTATAATACTTTAGGGGATTTCTTTTTCGAGGATCTTGGCAAACTACAGGACTTCTCTCTTAATAACATTATAAGCTTAGCCAAAGATTCTAAGTGATTTTAAATCTTGAGTTTTTTAATAATACGGTAGCACAATGTGCCTATAGGCCTAAGTGAATCCCTTCCCTAACCTGACCTTGTTGTGCATATTTCAATTTGTATTTTATTGTGAAAAATTATTTGTAATTATATATAATAGTTCTATTCTACGACCTACTTGTAATAAAACTCAAGTAAAACACAAGTAAAGTGCAAACTGAAAGCGTAACACAAATAAGTGTCAAATTATGCTCTTTACACAGATTTTTATGGAGCTTTGTGTAAAGTCTAGTGAGAACATTAATGCCAAAAACAAATTAAAATGAATTTTAATTCATTCCAAAACAGCTGATGCACACATTTCACAAATTTTAATTGAAATAAAATGAACGAGTAAAGTCTCTGTAGCAAGGTCAAATTTCAACAGGGAGGTTACGCTCTCTCAGATGCTCTCATTTACTCGAAAATTTGATAGTGGAACGCGCTTGTGTATGCATAGACCTAATAATAATAAAATGTATTACAATTAATGACATGTATTACGGCCGTGTGCCAGTTCGAGTAAATTTCTTAGGGATTTTTTGCACTGCGCTTATGTTTAAATTTGGTTATTTATTTTTTGCAATTATTTATTATTTTTGGTTAAAAGTTTTCAAATTTATTTATTTATTTATTAAACATAACACCTAATTTACCTAATTTTTATCGAATTTACCCAAAATTCTGGTAAATACCAACATTTGCTGCCATACCGACATAATTTACTATTGCCCTCAATTTACCATCAATTTACTTGTAGTCGCACACGGCCTACAATACAAGTTTTTTATAGCATATTTATCTTAAACTATTATTTGAGTTGATCTGGTAGCACCATTTGAATAAGAAGTTTAAATGAATTTGCAGTACAATAAATTTACTATTGACAAATGCTCAGTACGTTCGTGGTGTTCGCGGTTACGCATAATTTGTTTAAAGAGATTTGTCAATACTTTTTTTATTTATAATATTGAAAAGCTAAAGAACTTTTTAAAAGTGTCAATGCATTTAGTATATGTAATTGCGGCAAACTGTAAAGAGAGGTGTACTGGCTGAACTTCTATTATTATATATAGAACGAGTGTTCGAGTGTTTAAAATAAATTTAAGAAATTTATAAATAAAATGTTTAAAAGAACATTTAAAGTAGTTTTCCGTCCAATTAAAAACAATTTTCTACTCCTGCCTCCAAGCTATTACAACGTTGTCTCCACCTATGTAAGTATTCAATAATTAGCGCGTTACGCATATGAACTTTAATACTCAAGTTAAATCTGATTAGATTAAGAGAATGTTTCTCAGGTAAATAGTATTTGATGATGATTGACTTGTGCTTAAAATAGTTTTATTGACCTTTTATCTTACCAACATATATATATATATATAATTTTTTTTTATATGTAGGACACTGGTTGCGTTACTTTACAGTACAATGCACACACACATTACGCCTCTTGGGCACCTCATGCGGGTGTGATCAAAGACACAGAAATTGGGATCAATGCCAGGGTTGCGAAGGAAATTGGTAAGAATATTTATAATATATTTTATTCATAAATTCTTAAATACAACAACTACAACAAACATCACAGATTGATATATTTAAATGAGATTACGTCTTTAGTAGCATCAAACAAATGCTTTCAATATGAAAATCAAATTGGCGTGCCGTCAAATTTGTTTACTTGTAAATATTTTGAAATATTAAAATTTATTTCATTAAATTTCTGATTTATTTTTAATTATGTGAATTGTTTATAAATCACATTGTATGTCTTTTAATTACAACGGACATTTATTTTAAATATTATTTCTCTCTAGGTTTAAATGAAAACGATTTAGTAAAGTGTGCATTGATCGCTGACGTCATGAATTTACGAAATGTTTACGTTACACCGGTCAGTGCGAAGGATTGGGAAATTATTGTAAGTTAACTAATTAATATTTCAATAAAGTTTTATCACATTTTATAGATATATTTAAACTATAGTAATTGTAACCAGACATTCAGATTATATCGTGACAGACTAGCTTTTTGATATGGTGTTTAGCTTTCCAACGTTTGAAATTTTTTTTTGATTTTTTTGACTTTGATATGTTTGCAACTTTTTATAACGTATTCACAAAATATTGGCCCGTGCGACTCGTGAAGTAACATTAGCATGACTTTTTCCGTATTACGTTCCTAGATTTTAGGTTCTACACATAAAAAAGAATATATAAATCATGCAACAAATAATGCCTCTACTAACAGAGAATAGTATTAGAATTTAAGAATTAAAAATTAAAAAAAATATGATTAATTAATTCAATTATTCTACAGCTGGTTTATGGTTTCTTTCTAAGATAAACACGGCAACTGAATTTGTTAATAAAACTCACAGCCAGTTAACAAAACTCCAGAAAAATGTGTGAATATAAAAGTCAAGTACGACTTTGGATCAGTTGGTTAAGGAGCACTGATTCTGAGTTTCAAATTTGGTAGGGCACGAGTTTGATTCCTGGTACTTGGTACTAGTACTAGTTCACTACTGTTCGAAAAATTTCTTTATAACGTATTTAATTAAATTAAATTAAATTAATTTTAATTAAATTAAATTAATTTTAATTAAATTAAATTAATTTTAATTAAATTAAATTAATTTTAATTAAATTAAATTAATTTTATTTAAATTAAATTCATTTAAAATAAATTAAATTAAATTAATTTTAAATAAATTAAATTAATTTTAATAGAATTAAATTAATTTTAATAGAATTAAATTAATTTTAATAGAATTAAATTAAATCAAATAATTGTTTTTAAATATTTTGTTGTTTTTTCAAATATTTGTATATATCATTTAATTATATAAAGATTTGCTCTATTTCAAAATGTATCGCATTCAGTCAATAAAAACCTGGTTACTATAATTATAGTTTATTATATATAATTCTAAAATATGCAATAATATTTTGTCATTTCTAGGAATTGAGCAGTGAAAAAATATCGCTTAGCGTACTGGAGCAAACTCGTATTGTCAATTCAAGTCAAATTCTAATTATTTGGATAAATAAATCAATGCAAGTTGCATTGACAGTTGGTAAGTAGTACACAATAATAGGTCTGTTCCACCAGTTACTCAAAGCAAAATTCCAGTAAAACTTCATTAAAACTCAAATTGTTATGTTCTTGAAGATTTTCTAACGAAACACGTTTTTATATAGTCGGAACTAACCGCAGTCTATTGGTGGCACAGACCTAAAATTGGATTATGTTTTTCTTGGTAATATTTTGTATAAAATCTTAGATCGCTTGAGGCCTAGTTTGAATTATGGTCGTATAGATCATAATACAGAATTAATTATTGCTCCAAATATCTACAAAGGCATAAGTAATGGTGCAGTTAATGGATCGTTATCAAATGGAGACGTGTCTGATAGTACTAATAAACTCCTTAAAAGTCGCACTGCATCACAAATAAGTGGAACTGATAATTCTAGTATAGCACGTTCTACAACTGTTAGTAACGTTAAAAAGTTGACTCGTTCAGAATCATTAGCAAAAGTGAATCGGCGTGATAGAATGGAACGTTTACTAAAGGATTTGTGTCGAGAGAGTTCCACTACATTTGAATTTCGTGTCATAGCAGGCGAATGGCAAGAAAATGCACAAATTTCTGATGTTTATGTTAATAAGTCAAATTGGCCAAAATTGTTGGAAATGAATAATATTTATTTATTGCGCACACCTGGTGAAAAAGAATTTTATGTTAAAGTTCGTGTTGTGGGGGAATCGAATATAGCCAAATCGACTCATCCGAATATTGAGTTAAATGTTAATTTGATGAAATTGTTGAATTTAAAAGAACTGGAAAAGGTTGTCCTAAAACCAAAATCAATGGTATTAAATTTTGTTGAAAAAATTGAATTATTTGCCCATAAAAAAACGCATTATAAAATTGTTGAAAATGCTTTTAAACGTTATGTTATAGCAAAAACAAATACTGCGCCAATGCTAATAAATCAGGATGAAGTTGTACGTTTGGAAGAAGATTTGTATGTAACAATTGGCATAATACCCGAGCATTTTCGTTATTGCGTCATCGATTCGCAAATTTTAAAAGAAAGTAAAATTTATGCAGCCGATTTGGTGCGTAAAGTGGACGATGTTATTGATGTGACGCCTAATATCGATTCGCCCATATCTATAAAGGACCTCATCAAGCTGCCACAATTTGACAGTATCCTGGAACAGTTAACTGGAGAATTGAAAATTAATTTATGCCTTAATGAAGAGAATGCAGTATTGAGACAAGGAAATATACTGATAGCGGGTATGTATTAAATTAAGTATTTCTAATTGACTGATTTAATATATATTTATCGATTAACAGGTGCCTCTGGTACTGGCAAAACTATTTTAGTTGAAAGAATTTTAGATGAATTAATACGAAAACCATATTATTGCTTTTTCGATATATTTTATTGTTCGCGTAGCAAAGGTCGAAAGGTACTTTAACAAAATTAACTTAAGTATATTTTTTAATTAATAATAATATTTTTGGTATTTTTTTTGTTTTTTTATGTTATCTATAGCCTGAGTCTATTCAAAAAGATTTACGATCGATGTTCACCACTTGTTTGCAAAATGCTCCTTCCATTGTGGTATTGGAAAATCTGGATGTACTTGCTCATTCAACAGGCGATCAAGCTACGCAGGATGGAGAATATTTTAATCGTATTGCAGATACAGTAAATCAGTTAATTGTACAATATACAAGCAATAATCCTGTAGCAGTTATAGCAACTGTAAGTGATTTGCAATCAATAAATAAAAGATTATATTCTCCGCGTGGAAGTCATCTGTTTCAAAATGTTACGAAGCTACCAAATTTGGAAAAAGAGGGACGAGAACTTATAATTGAAGAGCTATGTAGTCACATAGAATCGGAAAAATTAGATTTTAATAAATTTGCTAACCTAACTGAAGGCTACAATAAGGGTGATTTAGTACAACTAGTAGAACGTGCAATATTCTATGCTTATCGAATAAGTATGAATTTAGTTGAATTGTATGTTTTTAAAATTTGAATATATAATCTATTTTAGGTAAAAATAATCCGATTTTGACAAACGAACATTTAACAAACTCCTTAAAGAATACCAATTCATATTGTCTACAAGGCATTGAAAGTCATCAAAAGCTTAACGACGAAGAGGAACAAGATGAAATGACTGTGGAAGAAATCCCTGGTTTAGAAACTGTAGTTTCAGTTTTAGAAGAAGTAATAATGTGGCCATCAAGGGTATGTATTAAAAAATTTAGTACACATATGATATAAGTATAAATAATTTCAATTTTCTTTTAAGTATCCTACTATATTTAATGCATCACCCTTACGCAATCAAGCTGGTGTTCTTTTGTATGGACCACCTGGAACAGGCAAAACATTTTTTGTTTCAAAAATGGCTCAGTCTTGGAATTTACGTATTATTTCGGTAAAAGGGCCTGAATTGCTAGCAAAGTATATTGGGCAGAGTGAAGAAAATGTGAGAAATTTATTTAATAGGTATATACAAATATATTAAATTTATAAATAGATCTAACAGTAAATATTATTTATAAAACTACAACTTTTAGAGCACGCAGCGCCAAGCCGTGTCTACTGTTCTTTGATGAATTTGACAGTTTAGCACCAAAACGTGGACATGATTCCACAGGCGTTACTGATCGTGTTGTAAATCAATTACTAACTGAACTTGATGGTGTTGAAGGACTTCAAGGTGTAACAGTTGTTGCAGCTACATCACGTCCAGAGCTATTAGACCCTGCCTTGCTTCGTTCTGGTCGTATTGATCGTTTAGTAGAATGTGGATTACCTGATGCGATGGCGAGAGTACGCATATTCGAGTCATTGTCGTCTACATTAAATTTAGATTCTTCCGTTGACTTTGAATATTTTGGTTCTAAGACTCAGAATTATACTGGAGCTGATATACAAAGTATATTAACATCTGCTAATATGATTGCGGTTAAAGAAGCAATTGCAAAATATGGACATGAGGTAATAATAACCGTTTTCATTATAGCTTTTGATAGTTGTTAGATTAGTTAAATTACTCAAATATAGAGTTACAGTATATTATGTAAATAAATAATACATGTACCTTTTTTACTTCTAGAAACTACCTGCCAAAATATTTATCACACAAAAACATTTAAGTGATTCATTTCTTACAACGCGACCATCATTAAGTTCATCCGATATAGCCAAATATCAAAAAACGTAATATTTTAAAAATATTGTATTTTTTAATACATTAAAAGATTTTGTTTTTATTTTCGCAATACAGTTACGCACGGTTTACTAACAAAGAGAAGGGATCCAGGGATTTTGTCGCAAAGCGCGCTACATTGGCGTAGTTTGATATATTATGGTTTAATTTAAGGAACGAATTTGTAAATATTATTATGGTAAAAAAGAAGTAAAGGTTAATGGAATCAATAAATAAAATTTTATTTCAAATTTGTGAAATTTTTGCTCACAAGTTTTTGGGTTGCCTTACAATTTTTTTTATAAATGTTGTAAACAGATTTTTATATATAGTACATAGTACATATTAAGGTAGCAAGCAATTAATGAATTCTAAATTGTTTTTTTGTTCACATATACACATATGACAAATAAAATTTAATTTGAATTAAAGCATATTCATATAAAAAGTAATACAAAACAGCATTTTTGTACTTTTAATATTACTAAGAAATACAAAGGAAGGCACATTATATGTAAATGCACTAGTCAATTTGTTTACTGAAGTTTATTTTTTGTGTAATAATAGAAAGAATAGTTCTTCCAGATGGTCTACGGTTTCAGCTGCTTAGCTCTGAAAACAGGGAGTCAAAAAATAAATAATAAATAATATTTAAATAAAATTTGTACAATTATACATAATTCAGTTTTGATTTACACTCAAACTTTTACAAAATATTTTCGAAAAAATGATTTTTCTGATATGTTAATAAAACCCATTATTTTGGTAAATTTGGAAAACGGCGAATAACTAATATTTTTATTCGATCTTTATGTTAAACCATCCAAAATGTTTTTATTAAAACAGTCTAACATCAATCAAAAAAAATTTTTTTTTTGCGAGCGTCCCATCACATTGAAAAACGAAAAAGTTGAATAAAGTGTAAAATAAAATATTTTTTATCTGCACATTTTTAATTACCATATAGTAGTTAAACCAATTAAGGTACATTAACGTTATGTAGCATAAAATATTCGTACAAGTTTCACCTTTAAGTGGATATACAGGACGTGTGCGAGCCTTAAGTTGCGTTCTAAATTAGGGAAATTCTAAGTTGTACCGACAATGTAGTGATGTGTCAATACGTGTGGATAAATGGCTAAATGTGTGCAGTGCAAAAAATCCCAAAAAATCTCCCATTTGGTTTAGTATCAATTTAGCCTAACTCGCACACGTCCTCAATACTATATGAGGGCAACTTTAGAAAGAAAGTTATGAGGATATATGCAGGGTGATGCTTTGAGAAAAGTCAAAATAACGGTTTTTCGCAAATAACTCGTATACGGTATACAGGGGAAAAAATCGTAGTGATTTTCGAGTTTTATGTTAAATTTCCTTATAGAAAATGTAGGTTTCGTCTTTGGAAAACAAAACTTTCAATTATTAGTAAAGTAGTTTTATTTAGATAATATAGGAGGTTAAAACTTTACATTGGTTATTACAACAAATATTTAAAAGAAGGAAAATTACGTTAGCCGAATTCATTTAGTTTGTAATAATAATATTTTGCCGACAAATTGGAATATAAAGGTACGGACATGTATGTTCAGTGTGTTTAACAGTACTTTTCAAATAATAAAGTCACCTTAACTATGTTACAAATAATAGGTGTAGTAAACAGAAATCCATTATTTCTGCATGAAATTGAAAGCTTATTTACCATAGTTAGAATAATCCGATTTAGGTTAAATGTGCGCCGTTTTGCTCGATAACTTCTTACCATTTTGAATATAATTTCATTTTGCTTCTCTCATAAAAGTCTTTGTTCCTATTAGCAAAAATTAAGACAGTAGATTTTTACAACCATCTCTTGAAGTGAATTTTTAATCAGAAAAATTGTTCCCCATGAACAGGAACATGCATGGCGAACAGATGGATGCATAAGAACTTCCTAACCAAGTTCCCAGGGCTTTTTGCGTGCCATTATTTATGTGTGTGGCTTGGTGTTGTCCTGATGAAACATAATTCCTCTCCTATTGTTCAAAGCTGATCGTTTGTAGGCGATTGCTTCTCTCAAACGGTTCAATTGTTGATAGTAAATTCTGAGTTCAGAGTTTTGCCGTAGGGAAGCAACACTAAGTAGATGATTCCCTGACAATTCCACTAAACATAAAAAAATTTTAGATGGAGTATATTATTTAACAGGTTGTAAAAAGACTTGCTCTTAACATTATCACAATCATGTAATTGAAACAGGAATATTAATCATTCTAATCAAGTTTATTCTGATTTATAATTCTGGTATTGTATGCACTGTTAACATCCCTGTTATAACACTATAATTTCTATTAATAAACGTAATTTACGTACTCATTATTGGCTTATATATATGCGGAATATTAGAAATACAGTGTACGCTCGGTATTCGCGACTAAATGAAAACTAGAGCTGTTGCGGAAATCTAACTTTCGCGATAACTGAACCCTAATTTCATTGAAGAAATCGTGCGCAATTAAGAAAAACTAAAACCTAAAAACTGTCATATGAATCCTTTCCCTGCGAAGAGGGGAAAAGAATACTCTTGCGGTTAGGATTGCCTGTCGTAAGAGGCGACTAAAATCCCCCAGTGTCAGTCTGGCACTTATGCAAGAAGTGCAAATGGTAGTGAGTTAAGCAGCCTAACTTGCGACATTCGACCAGAAATGATCTGATCTGGAACTATGGGGGTCAGTGGACTGAAGCTTCCATTTGGTGTTGGACTCGTAGGGGTTGTGGTTAAAACCCAAACGTACACGGGAAGAATGATTGAGGATTGTCATTCATTCGCCGTGGAGTGTGTTTCATACCGGGTGCAACAGCCTAAATTGTAGCAGAGGTTTTTGGCAAGCCTCGCATCTCACCAAGGTGGAAGTTATGACTTGCATGAATTTCTTCATTGGTACCGGCGGAATAAGAAGTGATATTCCAATGGGGCTTAAATTAATACGTGTGTTAAGAGCACCGTGATGTTGAGCCATCAAGGCAGGGAATCACGTAAAACATATAGAGACATCTGTCATATGAATCCAGCGCTTCCGTTTCTGATAATTCTATTTTGATAATTCTGATAATGCTATTTAATTCTATCTTCATTATTTTCTATGGAAATAATTCACTACAAACATCACGAATGTGGTATAGAATTGTAATCAAACCAGGAAAATAGATATACATATTATAATTAGAAAATAAAATCAAAGTCGCGAAAATATAACCTTTTTTTTTGTCAATTGTCGCCATTATAGAAATTGCAATGCTAAAAATAAAGCTGTCGCAATAACTGGGCCGTCGCGCTAATGGGTAGTTGCGAATATGGAGCGTGCACTGTATTAGATTCGGTTAGGTTTTACCGGCGATCTTAAGAATCCATTTAGGTCTATTTGCTCTGGAGTTGGCCATGATCTTCAAAAAAGCACGTCCTTATAATACTAAATCGATGCTTACTGCCACCGTTAGGCAGTAATAAAGCAGATGTGAAGGAGTTTTCTTGTCCTCTCCACAATTGTTATAGGAATTATTCGAACGGAGATGCAATTTTCTAACATAGTCCCTTAATCGGCAAACTTACCACATGACTGATATTTTTACGAGATATCTTATTTACAGTAGTAAAAGAAAACACAACTGTTTTCTTTTTTATCGTCATCACCACAGAAAAAATTTAACCATCGTTTGCATGATGTCAAAGATATGTCCAGATTTTTTTGAATTATTAAGCTTCTCATACTTTATATTAGCCTTCGGTACTACGGACCGAAGGCTAAAATCTTCGCAACACTTTTCTAGGAGATGGTTACCCACCATAAAAATTATAAACTTTTGAGTCTGAAATTTGGGTCGAAATAGATTTTTTGTCAAAAGAAATAAAAATCTAAATTTGAAAATTTTTGCAATTTTTTAAATTTTAATTACATTTAAATTCTAATTTGCATTCTTTATACTTGATAACTCAAATTTGTATGAGTATAATATAGAGAAAGAATTTTTACTTGACTCGTAGAGAATATTTTTTTATTTATTTTCTGATTTATGGAAGAAAATCTGTTCATACGTTTAAAATCTATTGAAATTCCAAAATATATTATATGTAATGTCTCAAATAGATGATATCAAAAATAAATAAAATATGTGATCAGAATAGGAAATTATTTATTTCCATAAAATTACATTTGTTTGCATCTACAATGTTAACGACGAGAGAGAATAAAATATGTAGATGCGGCTCTTCAAAAAATTACTACTAATTTTTAAATGGCTGAGAATATTCAATTTCTTTTTATTATACTATATCTATATTTACAATATTTTATTCTATAATATATAAAAAATATTTCGATCGACGTATAAAGTGATTGCGATGTGAAGGATATCATTAAAAAATACACAAGAAATTAAACACGTTAATCTCGGCACGATCGAACAAGTGGTAAGACGCAGTGGTAATGCGGGTGGATTTTCTCTTTTCCATGCAATAAAGAATGATCTACGACAGAAGCCTTAAACCCAAACCAAAAGCAATAAAAAGATGTAAGTCACGTAACGGATATTTTAAATTAATATTCAATAATCGCACGCACACGTTTTGTATTTGTAGCTTCAAAATGTAAAATAACGAAGAGATAAACAAATATAATTTTTCGTTGGTCATATTGGCTATGAAGATCACTATAATGAATTATGTTTACCAGTTATGAAATTTTGATACTATTAATCCGTTGCATTTGTTCTACCTATGTTTTTCAGAAAGTAGATTTCAGATTTTACTTTAGGCTCACAATAGTTTAAAGCAACAGTGCAAATAAAAACAAAATAAAATGCAGTAAACAAATGTACACGTATATGTGCGTATTTTTTTTTTTAGAATATAAACAACTCTTCCCGGAACATCTAAGTAATCTGTGCATATCGCTAATGTTGTGCAAACTGTTACTGATTTCTTTCTGTGTTGAAATTTTTAACGAAATATAGGAAGACTCAACGATATGTGGACATCTATATGCAATCTGGCCACGTTCCGATAAAAGGATATCCGAAATTCTTATTTAGATACTCCATAGAAATATCGGTCTTTTGGTAAGTTTACTTACAGGTCACTGTAAACTAGGGAAACCATGCTAGAAGATTAGGTCTCCCTTTCAATCAAACCTGTCGCAGCTGTGTGAAAAACGATGAGAGTACCTCTCATCTACTATGTTTTTGCTCAGCTCATGCACGGCGGCGACTCAATACTTTAGAAGCCCCCTTTCTTTAGGATATTGATTAATTACAAAACCTAGGGTTAGGTCTTGTAGTTAAGGCTTCGTCAAAGGTTCTAGGTGGTTTTAAACCCTGAGTTTTTCCTATATATAAGGTAACACAATAGGTCAATAGGCTTAAG